AGCATATGTAGGCCAGACATACGTACGTATATTTAGCTTCAGCTACTGCATACATAATTTATGGGGTTTATTTTTTTTCATTTTTTGCTACTGTAGCCCCGGTGAACGTAATGTTGTAATTAGATAGCTTGTTTTAATTCCAAACATATTTATATCTTAAGAGTGACTTTTTTTCTATATATAGTCATTAGGTGGGATGAGGAGGGAGAAAGGAATTTTTTTTTTAATATTAAGAAAATATATTCACAAAAAATGACAGTTAAGAAAGAGATATTTCAAAAATAAAATACGTGAACGTATACGTGGTGACGTTACTTATACGCACTGAAAGACAGCAAACAAATTACACACGAGAAGTACGAATGCTGAGAACCTTTGCAAGGATAGGTTAAGAAAAAATATTCTTTAAAAATTTACGTCTAATATAGGGTCCTGCAGGAAATATTCTTTAAAAATGTACGTCTAATATAGGTTCCTGAAAAATATTATTTAAAAATGTACGCCTTATATAGGACCCTGAAAAATATTCTTTAAAAATGTACGTCTAATATAGGGTTCTGAAAAATAGTATTTAAAAATGTACGCCTTATATAGGTCCCCGAAAAATATTCTTTAAACATCCGCTCCTTGTTGAGGTCCTCAACGAGTTGTAGAGGTCCTTTAAAACTATTTTGTAATAAATCCACGCCTTGGTGAGGTCCTCAACGAGTTGTAGAGGTCCTTTAAAACTATTTTTTAATAAATCCACGCCTTGGTGAGGTCCTCAACGAGTTGTAGAGGTCCTTTAAAACTATTTTTTAATAAATCCACGCCTTGGTGAGGTCCTCAACGAGTTGTAGAGGTCCTTTAAAACTTTTTTTTTTAATAAATCCACGCCTTGGTGAGGTCCTCAACGAGTTGTAGAGGTCCTTAAAAATATTTTTTAATAAATCCACGCCTTGGTGAGGTCCTCAACGAGTTGCAGAGGTCCTTTAAAACTATTTTTTAATAAATCCACGCCTTGGTGAGGTCCTCAACGAGTTGTAGAGGTCCTTAAACATATTTTTTAATAAATCCACGCATTGGCAAGGTCCTCAACGTGTTGTAGAGGTCCTTAAAATATTTTTTAATAAATCCGCGCTTTGATGAGGTCCTCAACGAGTTGTAGAGGTCCTTTAAAAATATTTTTTAATAAATCCACGCCTTGGTGAGGTCCTCAACGAGTTGTAGAGGTCCTTAAATATATTTTTTAATAAATCCAAGCCTTGGTGATGTCCTCAACGAGTTGTAGAGGTCCTTAAAAATATTTTTTAATAAATCCAGGGCTTCTAGAGACCCAAAAAAAATATTCTTTAATAAATCCATGCCTCAGTTGGCCCTTGAAAAATATTCTTTAATAAATCCATGCCTCAGTTGGCCCTTAAAAATATTCTTTAATAAATCCACGCCTCAGTTGGCCCTTTAAAAATATTCTTTAATAAATCCACGCCTCAGTTGGCCCTTAAAAATATTCTTTAATAAATCCACGCCTCAGTTGGCCCTTGAAAAATATTCTTAATAAATCCACGCCTCAGTTGGCCCTTTAAAAATATTCTTTAATAAATCCACGCCTGTTATAGACCCCTAAAAATATTCTTTAATAAATCCACGCCTGTTATAGACCCCTAAAAATATTCTTTAATAAATCCACGCCTGTTATAGACCCCTAAAAATATTCTTTAATAAATCCACGCCTCAGTTGGCCCTTGAGAAATATTCTTTAATAAATCCATGCCTTCTAGAGGTACCTAAAAGTATTCCTTAATAAATCCACGCCTTCTAGAGGTCTTTGAAAATATTCTTTAATAAATCCACGCCTTCTAGAGGTCTTTGAAAATATTCTTTAATAAATCCACGCCTTCTAGAGGTCGTTGAAAATATTCTTTAATAAATCCACGCCTTCTAGAGGTCACTGAAAAATATTCTTTAATAAATCCACGCCTTCTAAATGTTCCTAATAATTTACTTGTAACACATCTGCCTCTAGAGGTCCCTTAAGATATGCTTTAAAAAATCCCCGCAATAAACATTCCTTTTTATCTCCACCACCATATATTTCCACGAGGTACATCGGTGCGTGTACATAGTGTCATTACTTATACGCCACCATATCAACTTTAACTTCATAAAATACCTAACAAAACCCATTTTTTCAAATTTATTGTTATTATCCTGTGTTTTTACAATTTAAATACTTAATAAATTACTTTCACCGATAAGTTTCACTCAATTACCTGCCACTTTCGAAGTATTTACCTTCTACCGAAAAATTATACTTGCAAATTGTTGCCTTTGAGAGAAAAAAAAATTAAAAACAACAAACTTTTTTTTTGTCAAAATTTACAACAAAAGCGTTTTGTTTTGCGTTGTTTTTTTATTCGGCTATCTTCAAGTATCCTGCAAGTTAGGATGATATATCCTTTATCAATTCTTTGAGGCTACCTTTTTTCCGCAGTCATAATACTCAAAGAAAGTTTTGTGTTGTTTTTTTTTTTCTTTGTTTAGCCGGACAAAAAATGCTAAATAAATAAACTGCTAGCTAAAAAGTATTTAAAAGGGAGGGGAGAGAGAGAGTAATGCAACAACAACAGCAGCAGCAAAACTGGATCCAAGCCACTTCATTTTTACACTAAATAAATAAAACATCAAAGTGTAAATTATGATAAGTGGCTGGCATTTTTTGCTTCTGCTGTTGTTGTTGCTGCTGTTGCTTACTTTGCATTATTTAGCGAAGAGTGAGAAAAAAACAAAAAATTGTGGTGAGGGATTTTTAGGTCCTTTTTTTTTTGTTATACATTTATTAAGTTATTTTCCTTTTGAAAAAAAGTTTACAAAAATTGTGTTGAGAGTTGGGGCCGTTTAATTTCTTAATAAAAGAAATGTCTAAAAGAGATTAACGAAAGGTTTTCTAATAAAGTCTGATTTTTGTTTCGTTTCTGTGTTAGAACATCATGAGGGGGGGAATTAAAATAGGACATCAATGAAGTGATGGATTAGGGTCAAAAACCAGTTGATTACGATTCGAATTTCCGGTTTGGACTCAATTTTTTAAATGGAATTTAAATGAGCAACAGAGAACACTTTTCTTAAAGATGAATTAAGGCGTTCTTTTTTAAAGAGTAATAGGGACATATAAAAGGCGAGAATTTCTTAAAGAATAATTCATAGGTCACATAGGTCCCATGATTTTTAAATAATATTTGCTCAGGTGCTATAAGGCGTCGATTTTTAAAAAAATATTGTTTGGGTCGTGGACTTATAAAAAAATATTTTCATAGGGACCTATAGAAGGCGTAGATTTAATTAAAGAATATTTTTAGGGGCCAATAGAAGCTGTCGATTAATTAAAGAATATTTTTAGGGATCTATAGAAGTCGTAGATTTATTAAAGTATATTTTTAAGAGCCTATAGAAAGCGTAGATTTATTAAAGAATATTTTTAGGGGTATATAGAAGGCGTCGACTTATTAAAGTATATTTTTAGGAGCCTATAGAAAGCGTAGATTTATTAAAGAATACTTTTAGAGGCCTATAGAAGGCGTGGATTTTTTAAAGACTAGTCTTCTAGATCTCTAGATGGCGTGGATTTATTAAAGACTAGTTTTCTGGACTTGTAGATGGCGTGGATTTATTAAGGACTAGTTTTCTGGACCTCTAAATATCGTGGATATGTTAAAGAACTGTTTTAGGAACCTCAAGATGGCGTGGATTTATTAAATAATTGCTTTCGGGACCTCTAGATGGCGTGGATTTTTTAAAGAATAGTTTTAGGTTCCTCTAGATGGCGTGGATTTATTAAATAACAGTTTTAAGGACCCTTTTATGGCGTGGATTTTTTAAAGTCTAGTTTTCTGGACCTCTAGATGACGTGGATTCATTAAATAATAGTTTTAGGGACCTCTAGATGGTGTGGATTTATTAAAGAATAGTCTTAGGGACCTCTAGATGGCGTGGATTTATTATAGAATAGTTTTAGGGACCTCTAGATGGCGTGGATTTATTAAAGAACCATTTTAGGGACCATTAGATGGCGTGGATTTATTAAAGAGCAGTTTTAGGGACCTCTAGATGTCGTGGATTTTTTAACGAATAGTTTTAGGGACCTCTAGATGGCGTGGATTTATTAAAGATCAGTTTTAGGACCTCTAGATGACGTGAATTTATTAATGAACCGTTTTAGGGACCTCTAGATGGCGTGGATTTATTAAAGAATAGTTTTAGGGCCGAACAAAGAGGCGTGGGGGGTTCCAGAAGAGGCGTGGATTTATTAAAGAATAGTTTTAGGGACTTCTAGATGGCGTGGATTTATTAAAGAATAGTTTCAGATACCTCTATTGTTAAAGAATATTTTCGAGGACCTACACTAAGGCCTAAATATGTTTAGGAACATTTTCTGGGGCGTACACAAGGCTTGAATATTTTTAGGGATATTTTCTATGGCCTATATAAGGCTTGAATATTTTTATACGATATTTCCGAGGGCCTACTTAAGGCTTAAATATGATAAAGAATATTTTCTGGGGCGTACACAAGGCTTGAATATTTTTAAGGATATTTTCTGCCAAAGGCTTGAATAGTTTTAATCATATTTTCTAAGGCCTACATAAGGCTTTCATATGCTTATGAATATATTCTAGGGCCTACATAAGGTTTGAATATTTTTAAGAATATTTTCTATATCCTGCATCAGTTTTCAATATTTTGGTAGCACAATTTCTATGGCCTACAATATTTGTTAGAATAATTTCTTGGGCCTACATAAGTCTGGAATATTTTCTGAATATCTTCTAGGTCATGTAAATGTTTGACAATTTTTTTGGGCCTATATAAGGCTTAGATATTTTTCAGAATATTTTCTATGGCCACATAAGGCTTGAATATTTTCTAGGGTCTATAATAGGCTTCAATAATTTTGAGAATTTATTCTTTCTTCTAATTCTTTCAAATAATGCAGTTTTAATATTTATGTCCTTCCTTTACAGATATTCCCGTTGTTAGCCTGGAACTGGGTACTAATTCCATGAACTCAACACTGCGTGAGGGTATCGATGTCTTTTTCGAATGTAATATCAAATCGAATCCCTGGGTGAATAAAGTCAGTTGGCGTCATAATGTAAGTAAAGGTTAATTAAAATAGAAATATATTTATTTAGAGGAAATTGAAATAAATTAATATCCCTATTTTTGTATACTTCATTGTCTGAAATAACAAAGAATTTGTTAAAATTCCTATTTAGAAATTTCAAAAAACAAATAAAATGCTTTACGTGCCCATACATGGTACAACTATGCGTATGACTATTGTCATAAAGTATACGCCATTTATGTGGTACTGGTGTGCCTATGAGTATTGTCAAAATGTATACGTCATAGTTTCATATCGAAATACGTCAAAAATTAAAAAAAAAATATTCTTAAGGTCTGCTACTACTACAAGTCCATAATATTCTTCGAAGTTAGTCAAAGTTTCACATTGATATACGTTAAAAACTTAAAAAACCAATTTTCTTAAGGACGTTTTTATAATGTCCTGAAGACTTTGATCCCACAGTCTTACTTGTAAATTATATTTTACTTCATATTTTATTGATTTTTTACTTGCGCAGAATATGTTTCCCTTTTTAAGCCATACAAAACCTCCCCTCTATTCATTGTCTGCGCATCATAGAGAATTTATTTAATTTTTTATTTATGACTGCTTGCATTCAATGAATTTACCGCTGCTCCTTCGACAGCTTGTCGACACAAAATTCATCTAAAGAATTATGACATAATTAAAATTTTAAGCTATCCATTAGAGCAGTAGCAGCATTAAAATGAAGTGTAAATAGTCAAATGTCTAAAATGTTGACAGAAACTGTGTTTTCTTTTTCGATACTGTCTATCCATCTGTCCGTCTATCAAATTGCAATTTATTTAAAGGAAGAATTGTGAATTTGTTTAAGGATTTACACAAAGGATTAAAATTGCATTTCATTTTTGCTTAAATAGCAATAAACAAGGATTAGCCGAGGATAATGGAACTAATGGAGTGTCAGACAAATTAACAACGAAATTACAGTGAAGCAAATTTAAGAAGGATAATGGAAAATATATTTTAGAAAAGAAATATGAGGATATCGAGGAATTTCAAATATTTTTTCTGAGGATTCAATACCTTTTATGTTTTTCCAAGCCCACAATTAAAGACTTACTCTTAAGAGTCATAGAAAATATATTTTCTTGGTATTTATTTTAAATTTGTTTCACTGTCTGAAGGAAATTTCTTAAAATATATTTTAGATTTAAATTTGATATTTAATTTAAATATCTTAAATATTTTATAGCAATTTTGTATTCAAATGTTTCCATTTTTTGTCTCTCTTCTTTCCATTGCAGGGCAACATATTGGAAAACAATATCACCGAAGGCATCATTGTTGCCAATCAAAGTCTGGTATTGCAAAATGTCAGCCGAGCCCGGAGTGGCATCTATACCTGTGTGGGTAATAATCGTGAGGGTGATGGTGAAAGTAATCCGGTGCATTTGGATATAAGATGTAAGTAGAAAAGTAAAAACTAAGAAATATAAGAAAAAAGAGAAAAAAATATCCATACGCTACTCAAGATTCGAAAGTTAGTCTCTATAGACGAGCGATAGAATGTACCTTTAGTCAAGAGAAAAAAGGACAATAGAGTCTATAGACGAGCGGAAGAGAGTGTCAATAGACAGGAGGAAGGGAGCGCTTAGAAACCAGCCATTGGTTATCTCTAAAGTCAAACGAAAGAGATTCTTTGTAGAGGGGCTGAAAATAGTAAATATAGACTAGCGGAAGGGAGTTCCAAGAGGGTGTCTCCAAAGACGAAAAACGATGCCGAAGAACATTTAGGTTAGGTTGAAAAGAGGGGTGGATGATACCACCACATGTCCAACATTAGATGGACATACACATAAGCTAATTAAGGCCTGCTGTGCGCTCTAGAATGCGGAGAAAGTTAGAATTGTTCCTTCGGGATAGAAAATCCTAAGAGGCCATGTGTCGATGTAGGAGATACCATTATAGGTCTTCTATAGATATGGAAAACCTCAGAAGGCATTTTGGTGATATAAACGAATGTCGTCTATCAATAAATATGCCTTCAAGATGCTTTGGATGAAGTTTAGATTAAAAATTAACATTTGGGTTTGATTCCCCCATGAATCTAAGAATTCCGTGTTTTTTTGTGAACTCCTTCAGAAGGCCTTTTGGTGATATAAACGAATCGATAAATATGCCTTCAAGAGACTTTGGATGAATATTTCAGGTCCTAGGGAGCCTTCTAACAAAATAGAACGCCTTTTGAGGTATTTTTTGTCACAGAATGCCTAAAAAACGGACGTGGAATACTTTCAGATGTTTGCTGAAAATAAAGACGTCATTTGGAGGACTTGTATGAATAGAGAATATCCCATGACGACTAATACCTCAGAAGGCCTTTTGGTGATATAAACGAATTTCTGTCCACATAGAAGAGTTCAGAATGCCTTATGTCGTCTATCGATACATATGCCTTTAAGAGGATTTGGATGAATATTTAAGGTCCTTGGGAGCCTTCTAATAAAATAGAACGCCTTTAGAGTTTTTTTTTTTTTTTTTTTGTCACAGAAGGCCTAAAAAACGGACGTGGAATACTTTCAGATGTTTGCTGAAAATAAAGACGTCATTTGGAGGACTTGTATTGATAGAGAATATCCCATGACGACTAATACCGATATAGAGTAACTCCCATTTCCCATTCGCTTATTTTCATACATACTAGGTTAGAAGGCATTAAATCGATTTGGAAGTCCTCGAGACCTTCTATTGATATATGGAACCAAGGGCCCATTCATAAATACGGATATCTTCAGGAAGACTTATTTCGATAAAACTTTGAAGGGACTTCTGTGGATTTTCAAGATTTTACAATGCCTTCACTTGATACAGAAACAAACATCTCGAGTCCTTTTACTCACACAAAAGACCTCAATGGGATTGCTATCGACACATGAAATTGTACAGATTGTTCTATGGATGTAGAAATCGTCAGGAAGTTCTATGGGCACCTATCTCAGGATTCCTTCCTTCTATATATAAAACTTCAGGAGACGTTATATTAAATAGCAGGAGGCCTTCTATCAACTTGGAAAAGTTCAGTGGTCTTTCTGTGGATATGGAACATTAAGAGGTCTTCTGTTTGTATAGAGTACCGTAGAAGGCCTTCTGTGACATACAGGTATATGAGGTATATGAAAGACTTTAAGGAGCCTTAAATAGAAGACCCTCCATTTATGAACGTATTTTATTGGTAAGGAAGAATTTTATTGGTACATAAGAACTCAGAACCCTTGGTACAGGCATAGAAGACATTAACAGCGATCCATCTCGCATGGAATACCTTAGCAGGTCTACTATTGGTATAGAGTAGCTTAGAATGTCTTCTATGAAATATATAAAATATCAGATGACATTTTGGGTATATGAAAAGTCTCATGAAGCCTTTTACTTAAATAGAAGGCCTTCAAATGGACTCGATATTTATTCAAAAAAATCTTTAAGGGTCATTTATGGAGGTATTTTGTTGGTAAGGAAGAATTTTATTGGTACATAAGAACTCAGAACCCTTGGTACAGGCATAGGATACCTTACCAACGATCCAGTTAGCATGGAATACCTTAGCAGGTCTACTATTGGTAAAGAGTAGCTTAGAATGTCTTCTATGAAATATAGAAAATATCAGATGATATTTTGAGTATATGAAAGGTCTCATGAAGCCTTTTACTTAAATAGAAGACCTTCAAAAGGACTCGATATTTATTCAAAAAATCTTTAAGGGTCGTTTATGGAGGCATTTTATTGGTAAGGAAGGATTTGATTGGCAATAAGAATTCAGAATCTCTTGTACAGGCATAGAAGACCTTAGCAGCGATCCAGCTCGCATGGAATACCTTAGCAGGTCTTCTACTTGTATAGAGTAGCTTAGAAAATCTTCTATGATATATTGAAGATATCAGGTGTCATTCTAGGTATATGAAAGACTTCAAAAAGCCTTTTACTTTAATAGAAGACCTTCAAAAGGACTCGATATTGATTCAAGATCTTAGAGGGCCTTGTAATGAGCTTTTTTTGGTAAGGAAAAATTGTATTGGTATGTTTGAATTCATAATCCCTTGTGTAGGTAAAGATATCTGTGCACACTTCTAGTGTGTATGGTATTAGAGCTTAATCTAGCCCTCTAATTTAAGCATAATGGCCTCCGAAGTTCATCGAAATAGGCTTAGAGATCCTCACGTCATCTATATTAAGTCCATAGTCTATATAGAGTAGCTTAGAAAATATTCTATGATATATTGAAGATATCAGGTGTCATTCTAGGCATATGAAAGACTTCAACAAGCCTTTTACTTAAATAGTAGACCTTCAAAACGACTCGATATTGATTCAAGATCTTAGAGGGCCTTGTAATGAGCTTTTTTTGGTAAGGAAGAATTGTATGGTATGTTTGAACTCATAATCCCTTATGTAGGTAAAGATACCTGTGTACCCTTCTAGTGTGTATGGTATTCGAGCTTAATCTAGCCCTCTAATTCAGCGGTGTAAGCATAATGGCCTTCGAAACTCATCAAAATAGGCTTAGATAATCTGTATTAAGTCAATGGCCTATCAATTTTATAACTATATACACTTTGGCTCCTTACTTGGTATATGCAGACCTGTATTTGGTCAGTGCAGGATACTGATCTCTACGCAGATTCTCTGAATGCAGCTTCTATGAATGCAGCTTTAGCTGATCTGTTTATATAGACATTATTAAATATTTCAAGAGCCTTTTCATTTAGCCTGCTGGACCCTTCGATATAGAGATTTTCAACTTCTGTATGATGATTACATCATTGGTTCTCTTCATATAGTTTGTCTGTTCCTCGACTATATGGATCTACTCAACCCTTTAATATAAAAACACTGGAATCACTGTCCTCTCAGCAATATTAACGATTTGTGGACGACCTGTGGACCCATATAGATAAGGCGCTGGATAGACTAGATGAACATGTTCATGGAATTTCCATTGATCAGATGGAGCTCCTATTAACCAGTATGGGACATGTGATTGGTTAGAGAATTTATTTAGACGATATGAGGAGCATCTGAGTCTATGTAGATGAGCTATATGAAGATGAAGTATATGAAGATGTGTATGGAATTTTTTATAGAGGTCACTTGAGGAGCCATAGAATTTTTATAGATTAAGTGGACTCTGAGTCTATCTTTCTGAACTGAGGGTTCAGTGATTAAATATAAATGAGCTGCTGGACCTGTGGTCTCATATAGACGGGAGGACAAACAGAGTAGATGAAGGGGTGTATGAAAATGTTATCGGGGGCACTTGAGGAGCCATAGCATATATATATAGATAGGGTGGGTGTCCTCTGAGTCTATATTGATGAACTGAGGTTTCAATGATTTAATATAAATACTTCAATACTTCCATATAGACTCACTGGATCTGTGCCTGTCATTTTGGGCCTTTCATTCTGTCCATACATATATTTTAAAATTTTATCAGCCTTCCATCTTATCCTGGAAGTTCCCATCTGGTTTTCACTTTTGATATTATTTTTAAATTTATGAAAACTTATGGCTTCTTTTTCCATAAAGAAAACTATCCCTACCCTAATCCCCCCTTTTCCTTGCTACGATTTACAGTCTATTTAATTTACAACATTATCACAAAAAGGAAATACAGACATGCAACCATACAAACAAACAGTCATTCATTCCCAGAGACATGTTGTAAATAAACCGTAGAGGCATCTTTTTGGTTACATGTATTTTGTTTTCATTTCATTTATGAGTATTTTAGTATCCATGTATGTATGGGTATCCCTGTGTGTGTCTCTGTGTTTGTTATTTTAATTCATGCATGGTTTACTACCGCTGACCATAATAGGCCCCAAAAACAAAAGAACTCTCTGTGTGCTGATGATGATGTGTGATACAACTACACACATACACATATATGTATGAGATTATTTCCTTCCTCACTCCCTCCCTCTCCTATGGGCTGGGTCGAACCTGACTTGTCTTGTGACCAAAATAAACCTGCAACAATGACAAGCAATTTGTTGGTCTGTCTACAATAAAACACCAAAAATGAACATTGCTATGTGGCCAAGGACCACTAACACCAAAGTTGAGAGTATAACCGACCACCGTCACGACTACCAACATCACCATCACCACCACCACTACTCAACTATCACTACAACCACATAACCAAATGTGCAAACAACCATGAAACATGAAGAAGCCACATGGCTTCTCTACTCTGCTATCATCACTGAGACAGCATACCGGCAGTGGTTCTATGCTCTCCATTAATGGTGTGTGAGTTCGTGTGTGTGTGTGTGTACGACGGTCGGTCGTGGCCGGTTGGATTCGGTACGGTCCGTTGAACAACAACGGCAGTAGCATCACAACAACAAAACAATATTCATATGAGAAATAATATTACATTTCATTGTTCTCAGTTGAGTGCGTAAAAGGCAAGGAAGAGTGAGAGAGAGAGAGGTGTGGGGAGGCGATGGGAAAAGAGAGTAGGAAGAAGCGACAGCTTGTTGAGGTCTCTAAAAGTATTATAATTTTCAGGGTTTTCTAGTAAAGCCCCCTTAGGACAAAAATTTCTTTATTATGTTGTAAATTTCTTCGGGAGAGAAAAGACTACTTTTCGCCTACGATAAAATGCAAAATGGGTTAAGTAATGAAATATAAAAAATAAATTAATTTGCAATGAAAAATACCATATTTCTTAAATAGAGATATTAAATATAACGTAAAAGAAACAAATAGAAAAAATTGAGTTTTTATTACTTAGTCTCTTTTGCATTTTACGTTTGTCGCCTTGCATGTAGGCCCTACAAAGTAGTCTTCATTGGTTTGGTCCTCGACAATTGTGTGTGTGTGTTGTGTGGATTTTCAAAGATTTTTACATATTAGACGTTGTGATGTGAAGGAAGACAAAGAAGATGATGATGAAGCTGCAGCAGCTGCTGCGGAAGAAGTAGAAGACATCTACATAGATTTTGTTGGTATGTTCCTGTGGGTTGTTAATGTGGTGACTTTCAAATGAAATTTACCATTTGAGAATTTATTTTTTTTTTTGTTTTTCATTCATATTCACAACAAATTCTCGGAAGATGAAGACAAAAATCTAATCCTTGAAGTTTTACACATTAAATCTTTTAATGTGTGGGTGAATGAGTGTGGTTGTATGTGTCTGTCTGTGTGTTTTATATTAAATTAGTTTTATGATTTTCATAAGAAATTTAAAATTAAGAAAATTAAAAATTATCAGGACAAAGGAGGAATTAAAAGGGAGGTGGTATATACGAACTCATTAGAACGTAAGAATATATTAATGAGCCTAATGGGGCCGGATAATATATATAATTGGTCTGAGAACCCAGTCAGACTATTTAAACGACCCTTGGAACTGTGGGTTCATATAGATAAGGGGTTACATAGACTAGATGCATATGTCCATAGAATCTGATGATCCTACGAGCCTGTATAGGAATCTAAAGGGAAAAATAATTTATATAGGTGAGCTGAGGGGCCTCTAAGTATATTTTGATGGGATAGCGTTACAATATAAACGACATGTGGTCCCAAATAAATAAGGGATCACGCAGGAATCAAACATGGAATCTTCGTTGAGCTTTTGAAGCTGCTGTGACCCAGCATGACCCAGCATTTGAGGGGCCAACATCTGATGGACCGCTTAGTCCATATTGCTAAACTGAGGGTTATGTAATTCAATATAAATGAGCATGGAGTCCCATATAGTTATAGATCAAACATGATAGATGAAGAGGTTCATAGAATCTCCACTGAGCTGAAGGTCATGTGAGGCTGTATAGGACAGTTAAACGTCATAGAATTTATATAGGCAGACTGATGACCTCAGAATTCAGTTCATGGAATCTAATTAAGCATTTGAAGCTCCTTGACTCAGCATACCACATTTGAGGGGCCAAAGTCTAGGGGACTTCTCAGTCTTTATTGCTAAACTAAGGGTTCGGTGATTCAATATAAACGAGCTGAGGGACATGGAGTCCCATGTAGTTATAGATCAAACAGGGTAGATGAAGAGGTTTATGGAGACTCCACTGAGCTGAAGGTTTTGTGAGCCAGTATAGGCCAGTTTAAGTGTCAACTAATTTAAGAGGGGCCTCTAAATCTGCATAGAAGTCCTTAGAGATCAGGTTATCTGAATCTTCATTGAGTATTTAAAGCTCCTGTGACCCAGCATAATAGATATGAGGGGCCAAAGTCTGAGGGAACGCTCAGTTTATATTGCCAAACTTAGGGTTCGGTGATGCAATGTAAATGATCTGAGTCCCTGGAGTCCCATATAGCTGGAGTCCAATATAGCTAGAGTCCAAGTAGCTGGGATCCCATATAGCTGGAGACCGATATAGTTATCAATCAAACTGGGTAGATAAAGAGGTTCATGGAACCTCCACTGAGATGTAGGTTGTGTGAGGACGGTTTAAACTTCATAGAATTTATATAGACGGACTGAGGGGCCACTGAATCAGCATAGATGACGTTAGAGTTCAGTGATTTAATATAAACGAGTTGAGGAAAATTTGGATCCATAGATAAAGAGGTTCATGGGATCTCCATTGAATAGCTTATGGTCCAGTGAGCTTGTATAGAACAGTTAAGGATCCAACGAATTTCTATAGAGGGACTGATGTATGTCTGAGTCTACATTGCTGAACTGATGGTTCAGTTATTCAGTATCTATGAGCTGTATAAGGGGCCGAACAGACTTGCTGAAGAGGTTATTGGAATTTTCATTGGCGAGCTGCAGCTCTTCGTAGTCTTTATAGTACCTTTGAGGGTTCAGAGAATTTATGGAGATGGGCTGAGGATTCAGCTATTCAATATAAAAAAGCCGAGGGAACTGTGGTCCTCAAAAGGTTTATGGAAAGTTCAGTGAGTCTACATAGACGAGATAAAGGTCAGTGTGTCCAAAAGACACGCTAAACTATTTAAAAGGACCCATGGAGTTCTAATTAAAAAAGCAGGAGTTTACATCGAGAACCAGATATTCGACCTACAGTTATATTAGGCCGTTTCTGTAAAAACACCCCTGCTATGCTATGGACGAGTATAGCATCAAAAGTCATACTGAGATCTTACGCCTAACACAGGGCCACACTAGATTAAGTGATTCATTGAGTTTTCCTTGGCGATCTGAATGTCCAGAGTGTATATATAGAAAAATTTATGGCAACTGCATCTACAGATATCAGCTTAAGTGCTAAGGAAGCTAATTTAAAGGACCCAAGGACCTCTCATAAAGGAAGTGGAGGGCTAGAGCATCTCTATAAAAAAGCTGAGGAGAAGGTGAAAGTAACCAGAAGAGCTGGTGGGTCAGGGATAATAAATAGTTGAGCTGTGGGGCCAGATATTCGAACTAGGAGGACCATTGAATATCCACATATAATTGTTATTTCAGATTGAGGGCTTCTTAACTTTTTCCGTTCCTGCAGTAGATGTTATACTGAGATTCTACGGAAAACAAGTTTTATTAGGTATTCTATATAGACATGTGGTTTTTTATATGGAAAACGTCCTTCCAAGATCTTTTCAGTCTAAAAGTGAGCTCATGGGGACCGTCATATCTAGAAAATTCCTCTTGAGGGCCTTTATATAGGCAGAAAGTCTCCAAAGGGCTTATACATCTAAAGCCTTTTCTCCAGCCCCGAGGCCTTTCGCATAGATAGGTGAACTCTTAAGTTCTTCTTTTAAGGTCTCCAGATAAAAAAGTCTCCCAAAATCCATTCAGCCTGTAAGAGACTTTCTGTGGCCTACCATATCGAATGAAGTCCTCCTGAGGGTGTTTATATCGTACATTATTCGGGTCTCCTATCGGCAGAAGGCTTTCTTAAATATCAATAGAAGACCCACTGAGATCTCTTTTGTCGTTAAAAAGCCTCCTGAGACCTTCTTTAACTTCAGAAGATCTTCTTCTCTATAGATGGAACGACTTTTGCGATAATTTATATCCGGGAGGATTTTGGATCTTCTATTTACATAAAATCCCATCTAAGATCGACAATATCAATTGAAGGCCTTCAAAAGTAGGCCGCCAAAGGATTTCTATTTCAAAAGAACACCTCATGTAGTCGTATTTATCAATAGAATGTCCCTGAGCTCTCTTGACGGGTCTTTAGAAAATAGTCATAGGCCTTAGAAGTATTAGAAGTAAATCTCCTTCTGAGGTCCTTTATATCGCAAAATGCCTACTTGATAGGAGACATTCTGCGGGTTCATCAGGGGAAGAAGGTATCAATGGAAGATCTACTAAGACCTTCTTTATTCACAGAAAGCCTCCTGAAAATCTCTATAGCCCATTATAATTTTCTTTTGTCGATAAAAAAAACCTCCTCAGGCCTTCTTTCACTCTATAAAAAAACCTTTCAATAGATTGTAGAGACGATTAAGGAGGCTCTCTTTCGCTCGTTTCTAGTGACTCACTTTCACTCGACTATAAAAGTACTCTTCGATTCGCCTATGTGTTTAAACTTAAATATGTATATGTTTGTGTACATTTTTTTCTTAATATAATTTCATTTTTTCGTTTTCAATCACAACCTTAATTCTGTATTCATTCGAATAACAATGTCTCTCTTGTCTTCTTCTTTTTCTTTCATATCATAACAGTTGCACCTGTCTGCCGACAAGGCCAACGGACGATTTACAGTACTGGACGCCAGGAGATGGCAAAAGTCGCCTGCGAAATTGAAGCAAATCCACCGGAAGCCACCTACATATGGAAATTCAATGCAACACTTGGCGAAACAATTGATATACCGGCATCTCACATAGCTGTCGATCGTGGCCGGAGCATAGCCCATTATACACCGATGACAGAGAATGTAAGTTAAACCAAAAAAACGAGGAGACATGGCAGGTGAAGTAGACACACAGACATATATTGAGGGTGTTTGTGTGTTTGAGTGAGTGGCCTAACGTTGCATTTGTAAGGATGACAGGACATGTAAACGACAAAAAGCGATTAAAAGTGTTTGTTTTTTTCTGCTGCTGCTGCTCCTGTTGTCGCTGTAGTTGTTGTTTTTGGTGGCCAGGATACATAAGTTACCCATAACCGGGATGTTGTATGAAGTTGATTCCAGGTATTCATTCATTCAGTCAGTCATTCATTCATCTATCTTGTACGGGGAGACAGATTGATGAATCTTCAATGTTTCCGTGTAGGAGAATGTGTATGTACGTGTCTGTGTGTTTGGCTGTCTAGGTGTCCACCAGAGATAAACTACTTTTCATTCTGCATTCAGGAAGTATAACATATTTGGTCTGGAAATTGAAACAGCAACTATTTGAGATTTTGTAACCTTTGCTGAGGGGGAGAGGAAAAGGTAACAGGAGGATAATATGGGAAAAGGCAAGGTTTGTGTTGACAAAACACAATACTGGCTTCCTGCGCTACCAGGATTCCTTTTGTTTTCTCATTGATCCTCTACTCTGGAGTAATGCTGGTGATAATTATGTCACCGTTCAAACATTGAAACGGTGTCCAGCTGAAATAGGATGGTGTCAAAAATGTATCGGAGTGTAGTGATACGGATGTTAGGTGGTATTATTCCAGGAACATAGAAAGAATCTACGCCTTTGGTGAGCCTTGAAAAAATATTCTTTAAAGAATCTACGCCTTTGGTGAGCCTTGAAAAAATATTCTTTAAAGAATCTACGCCTTTGGTGAGCCTTGAAAAAATATTCTTTAAAGAATCTACGCCTTTGGTGAGCCTTGAAAAAATATTCTTTAAAGAATCTACGCCTTTGGTGAGCCTTGAAAAAATATTCTTTAAAGAATCTACGCCTTGAAAAAATATTCTTTAAAGAATCTACGCCTTTGGTGAGCCTTGAAAAAATATTCTTTAAAGAATCTACGCCTTTGGTGAGCCTTGAAAAAATATTCTTTAAAGAATCTACGCCTTTGGTGAGCCTTGAAAAAATATTCTTTAAAGAATCTACGCCTTTGGTGAGCCTTGAAAAAATATTCTTTAAAGAATCTACGCCTTTGGTGAGCCTTGAAAAAATATTCTTTAAAGAATCTACGCCTTTGGTGAGCCTTGCCCTTTGGTGAGCCTTGAAAAAATATTCTTTAAAAAATCCACGCCTCTGGTGAGCCTTGAAAAAATATTCTTTTTGGTGAAAGAATCTACGCCTTTGGTGAGCCTTGAAAAAATATTCTTTAAAGAATGCCTTTGTGAGCCTTGAAAAAATATTCTTTAAAAAATCCACGCCTCTGGTGAGCCTTGAAAAAATATTCTTTAAAGGTGAGCCTTGAAAAAATATTCTTTAAAGAATCTACGCCTTTGGTGAGCCTTGAAAAAATATTCTTTAAAGAATCTACGCCTTTGGTGAGCCTTGAAAAAATATTCTTTAAAGAATCTACGCCTTTGGTGAGCCTTGAAAAAATATTCTTTAAAGAATCTACGCCTTTGGTGAGCCTTGAAAAAATATTCTTTAAAGAATCTACGCCTTTGGTGAGCCTTGAAAAAATATTCTTTAAAGAATCTACGCCTTTGGTGAGCCTTGAAAAATATTCTTTAAAGAATCTACGCCTTTGGTGAGCCTTGAAAAAATATTCTTTAAAGAATCTACGCCTTTGGTGAGCCTTGAAAAAATATTCTTTAAAGAATCTACGCCTTTGGTGAGCCTTGAAAAAATATTCTTTAAAGAATCTACGCCTTTGGTGAGCCTTGAAAAAATATTCTTTAAAGAATCTACGCCTTTGGTGAGCCTTGAAAAAAAAAGAATATTTCTTTAAAGAATCTACGCCTTTGGTGAGCCTTGAAAAAATATTCTTTAAAGAATCTACGCCTTCGGTTGATAAAAAATATTCTTTAAAGAATCTACGCCTTCGGTTGATAAAAAATATTCTTTAAAGAATCTACGCCTTCGGTTGATAAAAAATATTCTTTAAAGAATCTACGCCTTTGGTGAGCCTTGAAAAACTAATCTTTAAAAAATCCACGCCTTTGGTGAGCCTTGAAAAAATATTCTTTAAAGAATCTACGCCTTTGGTGAGCCTTGAAAAAATATTCTTTAAAGAATCTACGCCTTTGGTGAGCCTTAAAAAAATATTCTTTAAAGAATCCACGTCTCAGGGTGACCTTCAAAAAAATATTCTTTAAAGAATTCACGCCTCAGGGAGACCTTCAAAAAAATATTCTTTAAAGAATTCACGCCTTTAAAAATCCACGCCTTCAGTAGGTCTTTAGAAAATAGTTTTTAAAATTCCACGCCATCCACGCCTTCAGTAGGTCTTTAGAAAATAGTTTTTAAAAATCCACACCTTCTTTAAGAATCCACGCCTTCTGTAGGTCCTTAGAAAATATTTTTCTAAAAAATCCACGCCTCCTTTAAGAATCCACGCCTTCAGTAGGTCTTTAGAAAATAGTTTTTAAAAATCCACGCCTTCTTTAAGAATCCACGCCTTCTGTAGGTCCTTAGAAAATAGTCTTTAAAAATCCAGGCCTGCTCTAAGAATCCACGCCTTCTGTAGGTCCTTAGAAAATAGTTTTTTTTTTAAATCCACGCCTGTTTTAAGAGTCCACGCCTTCTGTAGGTCCTTAGAAAATAGTTTTTAAAAGGTCCACGCCTGCTTTAAGAATCCAAGCCTTCTGTAGGTCCTTAGAAAATAGTTTTTTTTTAAATCCACGCCTGCTTTAAGAATCCACGCCTTCTGTAGGTCCTTAGAAAATAGTTTTTAAAAGGTCCACGCCTGCTTTAAGAATCCAAGCCTTCTGTAGGTCCTTAGAAATTAGTTTTTTTTTTTAAATCCACGCCTTCTTTAAGAATCCACGCCTTCTGCAGGTTCTTAGAAAATAGTTTTTAAACATTCACGCCTTTTGTAGGTCCCTGAAAAAACATTCTTTCAAAATCCACGTCTTATATAGGTCCCTAAAACATATTTCTTAGAAATCCACGCCTTATATAGGCCCCCAAAAGATGTTTATTTAAACCACTCCTTTTTAAGTCCCTAAAATATTTGTTTAATAATCCACATCATATGTCTCTGAAAAAAATATTTTTAAAAAATCCACGCCTTGATTTTTTTAATCTAAGCCTTATATAGGCCCCTAAAAATTATTCTTTAAAAATCCACGATCTATATTCGACTTTAAAAATTATATTTTCAATATTATTCGAAAAATCTAAGCCTTCTGTTGGTCTTTCAAAAATATTTTTCCTCCCCATAGCAATTTTTACTTTATCCTTATGGTCAATTGTCCTTGTTTATCCATTTGGTTTTTCTCCTGCTGTAGCTAATTTTAATTACACGATTAATTATCACAATCTCCCTAAAATAGATTACCATAATTAGCTAAATGAATTGCGGTCGTTCATATCCTTTCGGGGTTTTACAGATGTGGTCGCTGATTTGCAACGCCTCCATACAACAAGCAAACAATCAGTGCTGCAGATGACACGGTCGCTACATTGTTTTGGAAACTTTTCAAAATTGGAAAATGGTGGCATATGCCATGCCATGCATCCATTCATTCACTCAGTCATTCATCTATTCCGTCATTCATTCAATCACTGCAGAAAATCGCATTCGTAACTGTAATTCTAACATTGTTATTGTTGTTTGTTTCGTTTTCGTTTTTTTTTTCCAGGACTATGGCACTTTACTGTGTTGGGCCAGTAATGAAATCGGCGATCAAACAGAACCCTGTGTCTACACCATTGCACCAGCAGGTAAGTGTGTGGAGTGTTGTTTTGTTCGGGATGCACAATTTCCCTATAAATGTCAGTTAGATAGTCAGCCAACCGCGAGAACGATGCATTCAAATCATCCTAACTATCCTTTGGCATGTTACTGGACATTGTTAACTGTCAAATCAAATGTTTTATGAAGCGTAGGGACTCAAGGTAGTACAGTTACACAGTGATGAACCGTTCGCCTCCTCTCCGCGCATCGAGTCAATCAGCTAAAGTCATTCAACCATTAATTAATTTTGATTCTGAACCAAACGCCAGTTTTCATTCATTACTCAGTCAGGCAGTCAGTCAGCAGCCATTCGGGATAGAAATAACAATGGCTAGCGGAAGCGAAACAGAAAGGCAACAGTCTGGTCTGTCGTGGTCGGAAATCATTTTTCTTTTTATAGGCCAACTGGCCATGTTGTAGTGTGACATAAATTGTTATCAAGGACTTTAATGTTACTTCCATTAAGGATGTTTGTTTTTATTCGGTGTTGTTGTTGTTTTTTCAACCATTGTTGTTATTTATACTGTGGTGATTTTTAGTATGTGTGTGGATGTATGTGCGGGTTTTATTTCCGCTTTTACAATGCTAATATTTGTGGTTGTCTCCATAGACACACTCTCAATGAGAGAGACATATATGTTTAGCGGAAGTAAGCTATGCTAATGGTTGTATGGAAACAATAACAACAAAAAAAGGACAATAGTAAACAATAGTAATAGTATCCCTTTTTCGGAGATTTTTAAATTTTTCAAAATAGAAAAACAAGATAGAATTGAGGGGATGGAAACAGGACCCTGAAAAAAATATTTAAAAAAACTACGCCATGTGTAGGCCCTTGAAAACCGTAATAGAAAGTTGTAAAGTCAGACCGGGCCGACATATAGTGAAGGTTACCATATGGTAACCTTCACCACTTTGGGTATATTCAACTGATGAATCCTAACAGACATCGAATGTTTGAAGGGCCAGTAAACTGAAATTAGATCCCTAAACAAGTCATTCTGCAACCGATACTAAATTTATCATTTGGTCAGATTGGAAGCTATATCTAAATTTGAACCGATTTCAGGAAACTTAACACACATAATTCTAGACCTAATTCATTACGTTGTGCCAAATTTCGTGAAAATCGAAGGGTATATAGGGACTTTGGAGCCCCATTTACCTTAAATCGGACGAAAATAAATATAGGAGCTATATCTATATCTGAACCGATTTTTAGCACACATCATTCTGGACGTAAATCAGTGCCCTATGCCAAATTTCATGCAAATCGCAGGATATATATAGGGACTTTGGTGCCCCGTTTACATTAAGTCGGACGAAAATATATATGGGAGCTATTTCTAAATCTGGTCCGATTTTCTCAAAACTTGAAACGCGTCATTCTAGACTCAATTCAGTACACTATGCAAAAATTCGAGCAAATCGGAAGATATATAGGGACTTTGGTGCACCATTTATATAAAATCGGACGAAAATATATATGGGAGCTATATCTAAATCTGAACTGATTTTCAGGAAACTTAAGACATTTCATTCTAGACGTAATTCATGACGATGTGCCAAATTTCGTGCAAACCGAAAGATATATAGGGACTTTGGTGCCCCATTTAACATAAATCGGACGAAAATGTATATGGGAGCTATATCTAAATCTGAACCGATTTTCAAGAAATTTTGCACACATCATTCTAGACTAAATTTACTACGATGTGCCAAAATTCTTGCAAACTTTGGAGCACCATTTACCTGAAATCGGACGAAAATATATATGAGAGCTATATCCCAATCTGAACCGATTTCCACGAAACTTAGCACACGTCATTCTAGACTTAATTCAGTACGCTGTACCAAATTTCGTGCAAATCGAATCGTATCTAGGGACCTTTTCGTCCGATTTAAGGTAAATGGTGCACATTTACCATAAGTCTGACGAAAATATATATGGGAGCTATATCTAAATCTGAACCGATTTTCAGGAAACCCTGCGCACATCATTCTAGGCTTAATTCAGTACGCTGTGACAAATTTCGTGCGAATCGAAAGACATATAGGAGCTTTGGTGTATCATTCACATAAGATCGGAAGAAACTATATACGGGAACTATATCTAAATCTGAACCGATTTTTCCCAATTTCAAAAGGGTTCGTCCTTGGGCCAAATTAGTGACATCTGCCAAATTTCATTTGAATCGGATCATAAATTCGGCCTGTACTTTGTTAACAAAAATCATGGACGGACGGACAGACGCACATGCATAAATCGACTCAGAAAGTGATTCTATGTATATTCTCAAAAGGAACCGTGAGTCTATCTCGATTCCTTTTGCCTGTTACAAACATATTCAGACATAATACCCTGTACCACAGTGTGGTGAAGGGTATAAAAAATGGAGGGGAGAAAGAACTGGCCCCTGAAGATATATTTCAAAAACCTTCGCCTTGTGTAGGATCCTGAAAAAATTATTTAAAAAATGTACGCCTTCTGTAGGCCCCCGAAAAAATCATGTAGGTGTCTAGAAAAATTATTTAAAAAATATACGCCTTGTGTAAGCCCCTGAAGTAAGGATTTCTAGAAAAATTATTAAAAAAAATCTACGCCTTTTATAGGACCCTGAGAATAGGGCCTTGATAAAAAATATATTCCTTATATAATTATTATCCTTTTTCTCTTTTCTCAGGTGAACCCGATCCCTTGGTAAATTGCACCCTGCTAAACCAAACCTCCACTGGCTTTCAAATCGAATGCCTTGAAGGTTTTGATGGTGGCCTACAGCAGGATTTCATCATGGAGGTATATGTGAATGGTACCACAAGGCATCCGAAAATCTATAAATCTAAGTGGGTAGCAAAAAAACATACGACAACTTTAAAAAATACATTTCTTAAATTTTTAAATCTGTTTCTCTTCTCTCTTTCTTTTCCAAATTGTCTCCTGCTGCTCCTATCATTTTTTCAAAAATGTCTTCTATATGGTTTCATATCCTGACAATCTTTTGTCCTACAACAACAACGATGGCGACGACAAATGACATGCAATGTTGTTGTAATCACCATTTCCATGATGACTGGATGGCTGGCGCTGCAACGACAACTGCCACACACTAAAAACAACAACAACGACGACAATCATCCTGTCACTTGATATTATGTTTCGAAATGCAATTGGGTGTATGCGTAACTCCTGCTTTGTGTGTGTATATGTGTGGGTGTGTGTGTTGGTTGGTGGCCTCTTGTGAAAATGTATACAAATTGCTATCTGCATTCGTTTGACTTACTGCAACACCACCATTCAACAACATCGTCGACCTGCCCACACTCATCTGCCGCACCCAACCCCCTCGCCATGCTGTTGGATCTCCACCACACAAACGACAACATTTTTGTTGTTTTTTCTGGGAAATTTTAGAACCCCTTACTTTGAGGTGCGTGGCCTGATTCCAGGTGCCGGCTATAATGTATTTTTGGTAGCTCACAATAGCAAAGGACGCAGTAATGCCACAATCCTGCAAGTCTATACACTTAAGGATCCTGAAAAACAGACAGGTTTGTGGACAAACAACAAATCTACCGTTCGTAGTCTTTCATAGTTTTTGGTTTTACAAAATATGTCATTTTTGGGGCTGAACTTTAAGTTCGGTATGAATTGGTGGTACACAACCCTTCTCTGTGGGATGGAGGTGGAGAAGAAGACAGCGAACAAATTTGCCTGTTATCTAAATTTTTGGAAAGTAGAAGTAGAAAAATTGTGTAGTTAGTAGCATGCTGAGTATCTTAGATATTTGTAGCTTTTTTGCTTCAATACAGGGCTGGGAAGTTTTAATTGGTAAAAACTTGAATTAAAAATAAAAAATTCTAAAACATGTTTTTTAAACTGCAATTATTATTAATTATGATTAATGATTAAAAAAATATATGAAAGTTTTTTTTAAATTCCCAGCCCTGACGAAAAATTGATTTAAAAAAATTTTGAAAATTTTATTTTTTTTGGTTATTTTTTCTTTGATAACAAATGTTTTTTCAGTTTTGATTACATACAAAAAACAATTCGTTACAACAATGCCTATGTTTAATGCGACTATTGTCAGCACTTCAACAGCTACCACTACCCCTTGTACACCTTATAATTTAACACCACCACCACCCAAGTCCAATAAGAAAAGTAAGGATTTATGGTTGTTTTTTATTAATTAATGCACTGAATATTTTTTTTTAAATTATTTTTATAAAAAAATATATTTTTTCTAACTTTGCAGATGGGTTTTTATTAACAAAAAATGGTTATAATCTTTGAAAAAATTCCAACATTTTACTAATTTTCTATTTTCATTTTCCCCTCTTCCATTTTCTATTTTCTTGTTCTGCAGATCTCTCTCTGGCCTATGCCCCCGTCATCGAAGATATCCGGCCATTTTTGGGCATCTTGGTTGGCATTGTGGTCAGCATCATATTGGTCGCCTTTATTATTGTAATAATTGTACGCATGCGCGGTTCATCGGGACGGGATCGTAATAACTATATGCATGGCACGGCGACAGCTCAGGGCCGAAATAATAATGGACTGGGTTCGCTGCACAACAGTCATGATATGCATAATGGTCGTGGCAATTGCCATGTGACGAGCAGTATCGATAGCATCGATAAGAATCCGGATATAATACCACAGGGTAAGTAGAAAACAACTAAGGAATGTAGTAAAGTCGGACTGGGCCGACTATATGACATCCTTCACCATTTTGGTTATATTCAACATAGGCTCCTAACAGATGTCGCCTTTTCGAAAGAACATTGACATAAAATTGAACGAAAGATATTTAGGGATTTTAGAGCACCATTTACTTCAAAAATCGGAGGAAAATATATATGGGAGCTATATATAAATCGGAACCGATTTTCGCGAAACTTAACACACAACATTCTAGACTTAATTCAGTACGCTATGTCAAATTTACTGCAAATCGGAGACTTTGGCGCACCATTTACCTTACATCAGACGAAAATATATATGGGAGCTATATCTAACTCTGAACCGATTTTCAGGAAACTTAAAACACATCATTCTGCACTTAATTCTGTACGCTAAGACAAATTTTGTGCAGATCGAAAGATATATAGGGACTTTGGTGCACAATTTACATAAAATCGGACGAAACTATATATGGGAGCTATATCTAAATCTGAACCGATTTTCACGAAACTTAGCACACATCATTCCAGACTTAATTCAATATGTTGCGCCAAAATTCGTGCAAATCGAATGATTTTCAGGGACTTTGGTGCACCATTTACTTAATATCGGCCGAAACTATGTATTGGAGCTATATCTAAATCTGAACCGATTTTCACGAAATTTAGCACACATCATTTTAGACTCAATTCACTACGCTATGTCAAACTTCGTGCAAATCGAAAGATATATAGGAACTTTGGCGCACCCTAAATCTGAATCTGAACCGATTTTAACAAAACTTCGCAGACATCAGTCTGGACATAATTCAGTACTGTGTGCAGAATTCCGTGCAAATCGAAAGATATCTAGCGACTTTGGTACACCATTTACCTTAAATCGGACGAAAGTATTTCTAAATCGGAACCGATTTTCTCGAAACTTGACACACATCATTCTGAACTCAATTCATCGCCCAATGCCAAATTTCGTGCAGATCGAAAGATGTATAGGGACTTTGGTGCACCATTAACATAAAATCGGACGAAACTATATACGGGAGCTATATCTAAATCTGAACCGATTTTCATGAAACTTAACACATATCATTCTAGACTTAAGTAGGTGAGCTGTGCCGAATTTCGTGTAAATTGAAAGATATGTGAGGACTTTGGTGCACCATTTACAAAAAACCCGACGAAACTATATATGGGAGCTATATCTAAATCTGAACCGATTTTCACAAAACTTAACGGACATCATTCTGAACTTAATTCAGTACGCTATGTCAAATTTCCTGCAAATCGAAAGATTTGTAGGGACTTTGGTGCCCTATTTACCTTAAATCGGACGAAAATATATATGGGAGTTATATCTAACTCTGACCCGATTTTCTCGAAACTTGACACACATCATTCTGAACTCAATTCAGCACCCTATGCCAAATTTCGTGCAGATCGAAAGATAGGGACTTTGGTGCACCATTAACATAAAATCGGACGAAACTATATACGGGAGCTATATCTAAATCTAAACCGATTTTCAGGAAACTTAACACACATCATTCTAGACTTAAGTGAGTGTCATGTGCCAAATTTCGTGCAAATCGAAAGATATATAAGGACTTTGATGCACTATTTACATTACATCGGACGAAAATAAATATGAGAGCTATATATAAATCTGAACCGATTTGAACAAAACTTCGCAGACATCAGTCTGGACCTAATTCTGTACTCTGTGCAGAATTTTGTCCCAATCAGACAAATATTGGGAGTTTGGTGCATCATTCACATAAAATCGGACGAAACTATATAGGAGCTATTTCTAAATCTGAACCGTTTTCAACAAAATTTCCCTGACATTAAACTGAACCCAATACAATCCAATACAGTTTGGTGCACCATTTACCTAAATTCGGAGGAAAATATATACATCAGTTGGGATCTAATTCAGTACTCTGTGCAAAATTTTGTTTCAATCGGACAAAAATTGAGAGTGTGGTGCATCATTTACTTCAATCGGACGAAACTATATATGGGAGCTATATCTAAATCTGAACCGATTCCAACAAAATTTCGCATACATCAGTTGGGACCTAATTCAGTACTCTGTGCAAAATTTTGCTTCAATCGGACCAATATTGGGAGTTTGGTGCACTATTTACATTAAATCGGAAGAAACTATATACGGGAGCTATATCTAAATCTGAACCGATTTTCTCCAATTTCAATAGGGTTCGTCCATGGGCCAAATAAGTGACATGTGCCAAAATTCATCCAAATCGGATTATAAATGCGACCTATACTTTTCACAAAAATACATGGGCGGACGGACGGACAGACATGCATAAATCGACTGAGAAAGTGATTCTATGCATATTCTCGAAAGGAACCATGGGTCTATCTCGATTATTTTTGCCTGTTACAGACATATGCACAAAGACATAATGTGAAGGGTATAAGTGAAGGGTATAAAAGTGAAGGCTATAAAGTAAAGGGTATAAATATCACGCCTTATAGATCCACGCCTGGCATAGGTCCTTAAAAATATGTTTTTATAAATCCATGTCTTGTATAGGTCCTTAAAAAATGTTTTTGTATAGATCCACGCCTTGCATAGGTCCATAAAAATGTTTTTGAATAGATCCACGCCTTATATAGGTCCTTAAAAAATAGTGTTTAATAAATCCACGCCTTGCATAGGTCCTTAAAAATATATTTTTATAAATCCACGCTTTGTATAGGCCCTTAAAAATATTTTTTTAATAGATCCACGCCTTGTATAGGTCCTTACAAATATTTTAGTAGATCCGCGCATTGCGTGTGTCCTTAAAAATATTTTTTATAAATCCATGCCTTGTGTAGGTGCTTAAAAATATTTTTTAATAGATCCACTCCTTGCATAGGTCCATGAAAATATTTTAGTAAATCTACGCCTTGCATAGGCCCTTAAAAATATGTTTTTTAGATCCACGCCTTGCATAGGTCCTCAAAAATATATTTTAATAAATCCACGCCTTGTATAGGTCCTTAAAATATTGTTTAATAAACCCATGCCTTGTATAGGCCCTTAAAAATATTTAATAGATCCACGCCTTGTATAGGTCCTTAAAATATTTTTGAATAGATCCACGCCTTGTATGGGTCCTTATGTAAGGCCTTGTAGAGATAGTTTTTAACATATCCACACCTTATTTGAAGTTTTGTAAAAATATTTTTAAAAAATTCACGCCTTTATTTTTATCTTCTCCCCCTTTAGACGGCCACGACGAAGATGACGAATGGACAACGAATGCCCACAATCATGCCTTTGCCACAGCCGCTTTGGCCGAACAGAATGCCGTGATCACCTCATCGACCACCTATGATCACATTATACCCACCTATGCTGTGGTAGATAAGAAATCGCAGAGCCAACATTTACAACAACTGCAACAGCAGCAACAACATCAACAACAAGCCCAACAGATGTCAGTGCAACCACCCGCCCACCATGGACAATATTTGCAATACAATACGCTGATACCGACCAACAAAATGGGTGCATATGGCGCCCAACAGCAAGCAGGCGGTACAAAGGTAAGGCAAAATTAAAAATTTTCAAATTTCTACAAACTCAATTTTGGAGGGTTTTTTTAGTTTTCCCCCCAAAAATAAAGCGGCTTAAATGTTGAAAGCGAAATAAAAATCTCCCCACAACAACTATTTTAGCACTTAAATTATTTTTTTGTTTCTATTTTTTGGTATTTTGTCCATTAAGTGCCAGAATGTGTTCATTAAGCAATAAAAATTCCCAACTATCCGGCCATCCCTCAGGTGGTGAGATTTTGGGGTTTGATTGCAACTATTTCATACAATAACACGCACACACACACACACTCACCAAAATAGGACATTTTAGCCTCAAACCAAATTGTTGTTGTTATGGCTAGAAATAATAACAAATACTACAACAAAGTGGCAAAAATAACACAAATACACACTCACACACACATACACGTATTCACAAACAACAAATAAAACCACATAAACATTCAGGTTTATGTATGTAAATATATACAAAACTAAATAATATATGTGGTGACACAACAGAGGCGTAGTAAAAATAATGGGAGGAGGGGGGTACAAAATTAAAAATTGAAATGTTTGAAGTTGTCATCCAATACAAAGGCCCCATAGAACCTTATCACCCGACTTTGTTACTCCTTTCCCAAACACCACCCCCTTAACATGTTTGTGGTTCCTTGTCGCTGATCCTGTTGCCCCCACCAAACGTGTTAACCGAGATTGTTTATAATGACCGTTTGTTTGTGGCAATTTGAATGAATACCTCCATAAATAAAATTGTATTGTTATTGTTGTTGTTGTCGTACAACAAAATTTATATAGGTGAGCATGTGTAACATTTTTTTACTCCACCTCCATTATGGCCTCTAACCGGTCATTTAGTTGGTTAGTTGGACACTATTTTATAGAGTGGGCAGACTGGCCGTTATATACGATATGTTTTACAATGCAATTTAAATGTTTTTGTGTTTTAATTTAAAAACTACCACAAATAGTTTACGACACTATCAGCTGAGAGATAAGAGTAACAAATAACTTTATAAGGACAATAGGGTGTAACGAAAACAAAACTGTTTTTGTTTTTATAATTTAAAAATTAAATTTTCAAAGCTCTATTTTTATACCCTTCACCACACTGTGGTACAGGGTATTATGTCTTTGTGCATATGTTTGTAACAGGCAAAAGGAAACGAGATAGACCCATGGTTCCTTTTGAGAATATGCATGGAATCACTTTTTAAGTCGATTTAAGCATGTCTGTCCGTCCGTCTGTCCGTCTGTCTGCCTGTCCATGTATTTTTGTGAGCAAAGTACAGATCGCATTCATAATCCGAATTGGATGAAATTTGGCACAGCTCATTTGTTTGGCCCAAGGACGAACCCTATTGAAAATGGGAAAAATCGGTTAAGATTTAGATATAGCTCCCATATATATTTTCGTCCGATTTAATGTAAATGGAGTACCAAAGTCCCTATATATCTTTCGATTTGCACGAAATTTGGTATAACGTACTGAATTGGGCCTAGAGTGATGTCTGGTATGTTTCGTGAAAATCGGTCCAGATTTAGATATAGCTCCCATATACAGTTTCGTCCGATTTCATGTAAATGCTGCACCAAAATCCCATATATCTTTCAATTTGCACGAAATTTGGCATAACGTACTAAATTGATGCTGGAATGATGTGTGCAAAGTTTCGTGAAAATCGGTTCAGATTTAGATATAGCTCCCATATATATCTTCGTCCGATTTAAAGTAAATGGTGTACAAAAGTCGCTATATATCATTAGATTTGCACGAAATTTGGCACAGCGCAACGAATAAGGTCTAGAATGATGTGTGTAAAGTTTCGTGAAAATCGGTTCAGATTTAGATATAGCTCCCATATATAGCATCGTCCGATTTAAGGTAAATTGTGTACCAATGTCCCTATATATCTTTCGATTTGCACGAAATTTGTCATAGCGTACTGAATTAAGTATAGAATGATGTGTGCAAAGTTTCGTGAAAATCGGTGCAGATTTATATGTAGCTCCCATATATATTCGTCCAATTTTATGTAATTGGTGCACCAAATTCCCTATATATCTTTCGATTTGCATGAATTTTGGTATAGGGTATTTAATTAAGTCTAGAATAATGTTGCTATTGACACAACCGATTGACACAACGTACTGAAGTAATATAAATTAGTCTGTGGCAAGTTTTCCTGAAATCGGTTCAGACATAGACATATAACAAACACGCTACGTCTGTTAGGATATATATGTAGAATATACCCAAAGTGGTGAAGGGTATCATATAGTCGGCCCAGTCCGACTTTACTACTTTCCTTACTGGTTTGACATTGAAACATATTTTTCAAAAATTCACGCCTTCCAAAGAGGCTTTAAAACAAAAAAAATTAAAATTTAAAAATCCACTCCCTCTATGGATGCTTAAAAATATAACCTCCATAAAACCTCAAATATATTTTTAAGCAAAAACCACGCCATATGTGAAGACCAAACATATTTAAAAACAGAATCCTTGTATAGAGCCTCAAACATATTTTTAAACCAATTCTCGCATCAAATAAATTTTTTTAAACCAGTGAGCGGAGGAGTATAGTCGGACGGGGCCGACCATATGATACCCTACACAACTTCCACGAAAATCTAACTTTCTGTGGTACTACATTTGCGATATTGTCGTCCTCTTGACCGTCTAGGGGTCAACAAATATTACTAATATTCAGTACAGATATTCTAATTACTTGTCCTGATTCCCTTCACCGTGGGTTGTGTTGTGATGTTCGGCTTTCAATTGTAGAGAGATCGACTCGAAAAAAATTAAGTTTTCGGTCCACAACATTCCAATAATTATATCTGATTATCACCGAAAAAAATTACCCGCTTTATCCTTGACCATAACTGGAACCTCATTGAAATTTTCAAAGCGATCAGCGCTATATTTCCGCCTTCCAGTGTGGTAATGGGTTACTAAATAATATCTGAATACGTAAGCACCTGCAAATATTTCAGTGTAACTCCCACATTCGAATACATACGACAATATAATTGAAATCAATTTAAAAATCAACCACTCTCTTGGATATTCTATCAACTTCTCGGTTCTATGTCCTTCGGGGGGGGCAGAATAAAACATTTGTAATTTTTCACACAAAAGTCAGGGTGCATTTGTCCCGCTAAATATTAACCGATCTTTATCAAAAACAGTCCTTCTAATGCTTATTCTTTGGCCCGATTCTGGTGTTTGGGCCATAATTGCGGCCTCTGGAGCGACCAGAAAATCAGACAAAAATTAAGTATTTGGTCCATTTCATCCCCTAAATATTAACCGATTTTTTCAAAAAACAATAGGGGTCTTCATTGGCCAGAGCCCATCCTACATGCAAAATTTCGTGAAGATTGGTTCATAACTGTGGCCTGTATCGTGTTTACAAATTATAATGGACGGACGGACGGACACACATGTCTAGATCGACTCAGCTAGTTGAGATATGACGATCGGTATGCTTAAAGGTGGGTCTAGGATCAAATTTCGCGGCGTTACAAACTTTTGGGGCTGCACAAAGCTATAATACCCTGACAACATAGTTGTGTAGGGTATAACCAGTAAGAAAAGTGCACAATTTCGTACAAATCGAAAGATAAATAGGGACTTTGGTACACCATTTACCTTAAATCGGTCGAAATTATATATGGGGGCTATATGTAAATCTGAACCGATTTTCACGAAACTTAACACACATCATTCTAGGCCTAATTCAGTAATCTGTGCAAAATTTCGTGAAAATCGAAGGATATTTAGGGACTATGGTGCACCATTTACAGTAGATCGGACGAAAATATATATGAGGGCTATATCTAAATCTGAACCGATTTGCTCGAAATTTAACACACATCATTCTACTCTTAATTCAGTACGCTGTGCAAAATTTCGTGCAAATCGAAATGTAAATAGGGACCTTGGTGCACCATTTACCATAAATTCGGAGTTAAATATATATGGGAGCTATATCTAAATCTGGACCGATTTTCAAGAAACTTAACACACATTATTCTAGACTGATTTCAGCACGCTGTGCTAAATTTTTCACGAAACTTAACACACATCAATCTAGGCTTAATTCAGAACGCTGTGCACAATTTCGTGCAAATCGGAAGATAAATAGGGACTTTAGTGCACAATTTACAGTAGATCGGACGTACATATATATAGGAGCTATATCTAAATATGGACCAATTTTCAGGAGACTTAACGCACATCATTCTAGGCTGAATTCAGTACGCTGTGCCAATTTTCAGGCAAATCGAAAGATAGTTAGGAACTTTGGTGCGGCATTTACCTTAAATCGGACGAAAATATATATGGGAGCTATATCTAAATCTGAACCGATTTTCAGGAAACTCAACATAAATCATTCTAGACTTAATTTAGCACGATGTGCCAAATTTCGTGAAAATCGAAAGATATGTAGGGACTTTGGTGTACCATTTATTTTAAATCGGACGAAAATATATATGGAGCTATATCTAAATCTGAACTGATTTTTCGAAAATTGGCACACATCATTCTAGACTTAATTTAATACGCTATGTCAAGTTTCGTGCAAATCGAAAGATAGGTAGGCACTTTGTTGCACCATTTACATAAAGTCGGACGAATATATAGACGCTCGGACGGATATGCATAAATCGACTCAGAAAGTGATTCTATGCATATTCTCAAAAGAAACCATGTGTCTATCTCGCTTCCTTTTGCCTGTTACAAACATATGCACAAAGACATAATACCCTGTACCACAGTGTGGTGAAGGGAAAAAATATTCACGCCTTATAGAAGGCGATCACATATTTATAAAAATCCACATGTTTTATATATGGCGGAAATATATTCTTTAAAAATTTATGTTTTTTAATCCTCGGCTTCTATAGGAGCTTGAAAACATATTCTTTACAAATTCACGCCTTCTATTGGCCCTAGAATAAAATATTGTTTAAAAATC